AAAAAAAAAACACCACAAAACACCAAGAACGAGAGGACGGAGAGAAGTATCAGCACCCAGAAGAGAAAAAGGAATTTCAAACAAACAGAGGAGGAAATGCCGGAGGGCTTGGCCTTGCAAAAGGGTTGGACATCATCTCCTGAGTTTTCAATGTTAATCTTCAGTCCTATTTAAAAAGCAAAATAGGGCCGGGCGTGGTGGCGCACGCCTTTAATCCCAGCACTCGGGAGGCAGAGCCAGGCGGATCTTTGTGAGTTCGAGGCCAGCCTGGGCTACCAAGTGAGCTCCAGGAAAGGCGCAAAGCTACACAGAGAAACTCTGTCTCGAAAAAAAAAAAAACCAAAAAAAAAAAAAAGCAAAATAGGCCCCTCCCCTTTACCCCCTCCTTTTCCGAGGAGGGGAACCTTTTGTTTTCTGCTCTTTTCAGAGGGGTTTTCTGTTTGTTTGGGTTTTTGTTTCTTGCTGTGACTTAAACAAGAGGGTTATTACAGCAAAATCAGTAACAACAGAAAGTAGTGATACCTTGGACAGGAAAGGGAGAGGGAAAATTCTATAAAAATTTATATATTTTTTTTTTTTTTTTTTCTATATATCTCTTTGGTTGTCTCTAGCCTGATCAGATAGGAGCACAAACAGGAACAGAATAGAGACCCTCGGGAGGCAGAGTCCCCTCCCAGCCCCTGAGCAGTCTCAAGAGCACCATTCTTGGTCATGCAGAACAGAACCCAACTAGCAGCAGGGCGCTGAGAATACACCAGACACTTTTCTACAGTATTTCAGGTGCCTACCATACAGGAAACCTTGAAGAAAACCAGTTTCTAGAAGCCGCTGTTACCTCTTGTTTACAGTTTATATATATATATATGATAGATATGAGATATATATATAAAAGGTACTGTTAACTACTGTACAACCTGACTTCATAATGGTGCTTTCACAACAGCGAGATGAGCGAGAACATCAGCTTCCACCTGGCCTTCTGTGCAAGGGGTTTCAGCCCAGGATGTGGGGGGAGAGGGCAGCTGGAGGGCTCGCCTCTGAGGGAGAGGGTGTCGTTTTCCCTCTTGGTTTTTAACAAGCCAGAGGAGGAACCGTATCCCCCCTGAACCATGCCCAGCTTCTCCCTGCCCAAAAGGGGGTCAAGCAGAGGTGGTCGGGACCTGGGGAAGCTGAGTGTGGAATTTCTCCAGACTCGTGCAATAATAACCTTTGAATATCATCTAAAATGACTGCCTCGGGAAGGTGGCAACGAGAAAACTCCCCCCCCCCCATTTTGAATTTGTCAGCCACATTGAAGGCTCCTCATGGGATCAGAAATAATCCAGAGTGAGGGAAAGTGATCTGCCATGAACCCCACCTGGAGCAAATAAAAAAACATACAAAATGTAAAAAAAAAAAA